AGAGAAACTTCCGGTGAAAACTTGAATTCAGTTTTGTCAGAATAGAGAAATGAGAACAGAGCTGTGACTGCGACAAATAAAGGCAACAGTAGTATACCGCTGTTCAGTAGTCATTAATCGATTATGCGAAAACAATTCCGGGTTACAAACTTAAACCGAGGGAGACACATAAACTATTAGAGGAAAACAATTGAACAAAAGAAACACTGAACTGCAACAAAAACAAACGCCAGCATACATAGAAACGGACTATTTGATAACAACTGCCATATTCCTGACTTGGTACAGGACATTTTAAGAAACAAATGGTGGGTTGAATCTGTTTTATGGCTAGCCAAACCTCCCGCTTATATGGCAATGTTAAAAATACCGCTAAAATGACAACATTACGTGACAGGAATACAGTACAAATAAACGCAAGATCACTCTGGACAGAGAAATGCTTAAATAAATAATATAATAGTACATTACAACATGTAAACCAAAGATTAACAACGGACACTTCCCATGAATTCACGACAGAACACCAGTACACCACAAAAGAAGTATAAACTGCGCGTTACACGAATGTATCAACGCCACAAAAATGACGTATTTTTGTGACGTTAATATTATCACAGGTAAATTTCTAAAAATAGAATAGATTTGTTTTACTGTAGACACGTACACGAATATAAAATTTGGATTGAGTTTGTAATGTTGTTATTTTATGTATTTTCTAACCATGACAAAAATATTAAAATGGAATTGTGTTTGTAATAGTGTTATTATTTGCATTTTCCAACCATATCGGTTTTTCTTATAAACTTTTATATACATATTGAAAATAAAAATAAAATAATTGTAAAATAAGGCAAGATGCTGTAAGACCAAACAGTAAACACATTTGAAAACAAACAAGAAACAAAAAAACACTGTAGACGAAGTGAGAGTAACTCGACTATACTGTCAAATAAGACATATGTGAAATGTACCGAAAATACAAAATTAATACAACAAACAATAAGACATAGCACAATATCTAACCAGACTTACAAACGAAACATCATAACTAAATACATGAAAGTTGGATATATAAATGCCGCGACACGTCGTATAGCAATGGAAATTCACAACCGGCAAAACAGTCATATTCGGGAATAGGTCACATTCGGTACTTAGCAGACCAGACGACGTAGATGGTAAACCACAATCTAAGACGTGCTAAAAATGCCGTTAGTTAGTTTAGACACAGACACATCGTATAGATAAACCAATTCATGATGGTGTCCATAATATTTACGGAGTGTTTTTTTTTAATCTTTTCTCCTCATAACTCTCTTGGAGCAGTTTTTGCGTAAGGAGCACACTCCTGTATATGAAGTCAGTATAGTATAAACATGCACGAGCAAACCAGATACCAAAAACACAAAATATCACAATACTGTATATGAAGAGGGTAATTGCAACGTATCGTCTACAACTATATACTACTTTATCAACAATTTGTTACAGAGAAGTCTAGAAAGTTTTAAAGAGATTTAAAAAGACTAATCGAGATCTTAAAACCACCAGTGAACATACACTGAACAAATAAGTTTGATCTATGAGACAATGTAAATACAAAATAAATAAACTAAGGGAAGAATAATTAAACACGTTTTAAAATATCCCATTAATAGAAATAACTATGCAAACGAACGTAGTGAGTTTTTATATTTAAGTTTCTTATTGTAAACCTTCCGATTGTTTTCTGACTGTAATCTTTTCTCTATATGTCCGTTATTTGTGTTAGGTAATGTATATTTGAAGTATACCCCACACCTTGTTTTTTGTATAATCATTAATCTGAAACTTAAATAAATATTGAACGGACGAAGTAATTTCAAAACAAATGGAAGAACCAAAAACCAACAAAGGTTATTTAGCGGGACGACAACAATCTTAAATTTCAATATCACAATTAAAAAAACATGAGTTTTAAGTAAATATGTCCCAAGTCAGGAGCCTGTAATTCAGTGGTTGCCGTTTGTTGCTGTGTTACATATTTGTTTTTCGTTCATTATTTTGTAAATAAATTCGGTCGTTAATTTTTTCGTTTGAATTGTTTTGCATTTATCATGTCGTGGCCTTTTATAGCTGACTATGCGGTATGGGCTTTGCTCATTGTTGAAGGCCGTGCGGTGACCTATAATTGTTAATTTCTGTGTCATTTGGTCTCTTGTGAAGAGATGTCTCATTGACAATCATACTACATCTTTTTTTTTATATGTAACCATATTTAATAACTCTTTCTTACTTTGGTCACAATGGGTGCACTCCGCTGCTCTGGATCAGTTAGCAGTCCCTGGTCCACGAGTAGCACTCTTCATCATCTTGCATGCTTACGACAAGAGAAACTTCCGGTGAAAACTTGCATTCAGTTTTGTCAGAATAGAGAAATGAGAACAGAGTTGTGACTGCGACAAATAAAGGCAACAGTAGTATACCGCTGTTCAATAGTCATTAATCGATTATGCGAAAACAATTCCGGGTTACAAACTTAAACGGAGAGAGACACATCAACTATTAGAGGAAAACAATTGAACAACAGAAACACTGAACTGCAACAAAAACAAACGCCAGCATACTTAGAAACGGACTATTTGATAACAACTGCCATATTCCTGACTTGGTACAGGACATTTTAAGAAACAAATGGTGGGTTTAATCTGGTTTTATGGCTAGCCAAACCTCCCGCTTATAGGGCAATGTTAAAAATACCGCTAAAATGACAACATTACGTGACAGGAATACAGTACAAATAAACGCAATATCACTCTGAACAGAGAAATGCTTAAATAAATAATATAATAGTACAGTACAACATGTAAACCAAAGATTAACAACGGACACTTCCCACGACAGAACACCAGTACACCACAAAAGAAGTATAAACCGCGCGTCACACGAATGTATCAACGCCACAAAAATGACGTATTTTTGTGACGTTAATATTATCACAGGTAAATTTCTAAAAATAGAATAGATTTGTTTTACTGTAGACACGTAAACGAATATAAAATTTGGATTGAGTTTGTAATGGTGTTATTTTATGTATTTTCTAACCATGACAAAAATATTAAAATTGAATTGTGTTTGTAATAGTGTTGTTATTTGCATTTTCCAACCATATCGGTTTTTCTTATAAACTTTTATATACGTATTGAAAATAAAAATAAAATGATTGTAAAATAAGGCAAGATGCTGTAAGACCAAACAGTAAACACATTTGAAAACAAATAAGAAAAAAAAAAACACTGTAGACGAAGTGAGAGTAACTCGACTATACTGTCAAATAAGACATATGTGAAATGTACCGAAAATACAAAATTAATACAACAAACAATAAGACATAACACAATATCTAACCAGACTTGCAAACGAAACATCATAATTAAATACATGAAAGTTGGATATATAAATGCCAAGAAATGAAAATTCACACTCGGCAAAACAGTCATATTCGGGAATAGGTCACATTCGGTACTTAGCGGACAAGACGACGTAGATGTTAAACCGCAATCTAAGACGTGCTAAAAATGCTGGTAGTTAGTTTAGACACAGACACATCGTATAGATAAACCCATTCGTGATGGTGTCCATAACATTTACGGAGTGTTATTTTTAATCTTTTCTCCTCATAACTCTCTTGAAGCAGTTTGTGCGTAAGGAGCACACTCCTGTATATGAAGTCAGTATAGTGTGAACATGCACGAGCAAACAAGATACCAAAAACACAAAATATCACAATACTGTATATGAAGAGGGTAATTGCAACGTATCGTCTACAACTATATACTACTTTATCAACAATTTGTTACAGAGAAGTCTAGAAAGTTTTAAAGAGATTTAAAAAGACTAATCGAGATCTTAAAAATACCAATAAGGCGATATGGATAAAGGATATGTGGTGCCGATTCGACAATTTTCCAACAGAGTTAAAATTGCAAAGATAAAAACAATTATAGGTCAGCGTACGATATTCAAAAATACGAAAAACTGTAACCGAATAGTCAGTTAGAAAAGGCCCGTCATAACAAATGTGAACGAGAAAACTGCATGTTACGGCTTTTTTTGCAATAGAAGAACACATATGACAGACATGAATCAACAATGAAAACCACTGACTTACATTCTCTTGACCTGGGACAGGCGGATTAAAAATGTGGCGGGGTGAATCCTAAAGTGAGACCCACTCTTTTTAACCTAGAACAGTGGTGTTACAGCATAACACAGGAACAAAAAGTTAATAGCAGTTACAAATGGCTTCTCAATAAATCAGTACGATGCACATAAGAAATCAACTACCATAAAAACAACAGACACAGATCACCAATATAAAAGTACTCGCAGTTACTGAAAGCTAGTTTAACTAATAAATAAATCCTGTCATTCCAGCATAAAGTATCTATCAGTACACATCATAAGGTAAAGACGTCATAAACAGTCTGAGAAACGTGTGCAATGCTAAAATAAAGGTAGACAGTATCAAAAGGATGAAGGATCATGAGTACTTATAACTGTAAATATATAGCAATATATATTTAGTTGTGTTTTAATTTATCAAATACAAAATCAATGAAACAATTTTTAAAGCTTTCACTACCGTGTTAAATTGATAACCTTTTAATGAAATCATTTTTTTCAAAGCATCAACCAGTTTACATTGATCGAATCTAAGTTTACGGGCTATAAGAACAACATCAACGTAACAACTAGGATGTGATATCCCGTCTTTAGTGTGAATTCTACAGGTACAAAAGAAATTCTTTTAAACAATCACAAAAACAATTTAAAATATTCATCAAAAGCAGATTTCTGATATTAGACGTGCATATAGATTAGTTTGCTTTATTCAAATTGTTTATGATGATGCATCTACATGTGTTTGTAATGTTCATTGCCGGAAAAAGTGTATATGAAACTTCCTTGAAGAATTGTTTCCTTTTATTAGGATATTTTATCATTAAAATGCTGAACTTGATGATTTGTATTTTCGTTTGGATTTTGGGCTTTGTACAGAGTAAAACCTGTTATAACAATTCAAGGTAAACTTAATATTTTCTTGCAAAAATTGTTAAGAATAATGATAACTTGTTGTGTTTTGGTTTTTTTGGTTTTTTTTGGTTTTTTTTTGTTGTTTACAAATTTAGTACGTTGATATGATGCTAGCTTTTAAATGAAGAAACTATCAGTTTGCATATCTACCTCAACAATTTTATTTCTTACAATAGTCACAGCTACGTGATCTGCCAATATATGGTTTAAATGTGCTACATGTAATATAAGCTAAGATCTATGTGTGAACTTCATTCGATACATTTTATTTTGATAGGTTTTAATTATATAACTGTTTTTGTGGTGTTACCTGTTTTTTTAATGCATGGAAATATTGCATATGAACATCAAGTTATGTAGGGCTTATTTGTTCATCAGCTGAATTAGTTGCTCATTACTTTCCTTAATGATTAATAGTAAAATAGTGCCAACAACAAAACTTTAGCAATACCCCACCTCCTAAAACTTAATTCGAAATACAATGAAGGAACATAATAAGTTATGAAAAAGTCAGTATATTTGGAGTTGTTATATACTGTTAAAATGCCATTACACCATATATAGCTATGCATTTAGCACAAAACATAGCATTAATCGACGGGACGTATGTGTGTTTGATAAGAAAGAGAATAATATATAAAATTATTACAAGACTTAGTATAAAAGACACTTTCTCCTAAAAAAAAAGTATTTATTGCATTGCTTAAACATAACATTTACATGCAGCACTTCATTCCCGCCACGTTTGATCCTTACAGGTGCAACACCAGCTCACGATTACACATATGCTCCTCGCATATATAGCAGAAAACAAAAATCTCTGTGCACTGTTATCATCAGCTTTTCAACTTGAATGGCATTTGTTCAGGTAGACCAAACAATTAAACTTGAATGTCCTTAATATCCTTGATTACAAAGATGCCAAGGATACACTTGCAATATTGATATACATCAAGATTTTTAAACTTCGAATTTACTCTAAAGTTCCAACTTTTGACTTAATTAGTATTAAGAATATTACTCCACTTTTCTTGCGAAGCTTATCAGTCAACCTAAGTAGAAATACGTGATCAAGTCCTAAATACGCTAGACCATTGTTTTACAATTTTATATATTCAATTTGCTGTAAGATTGATTTTATCGGTTTCTTCTGATTTTCCATCACCTTTAATGTTTAAGGTAGATTCACTGTATATCGCCATCTTTGATTTTACAATAGCAGAACACAATCGGTCTAGTTCTTTGCCTTTTGAGTTATTGCATTATCAAAAATGTTTAAACAAATACCAAAGATTTGTGTTTTTAGAAACTCTTATAGTAAAATTGTATATACTGGAAAGGTAGTGAAATTTCATTTCTTACTTGTAGCAGGAAAACAAGTTCGGTGACACTAATTTTTTTTTTATTTTCTAAAAGCATATTATAAAACCTATCGTCTCATATTTTTAGAAAATTAATATTTTTCTTAATATAGAAATTTTATTTTCTATATTAAGATTGCATTATCTATTATATATAACATGATACATATTTATCATAAGGTTAAATCCTAACTATCCTACTGCCTTTCGATACTTTTATTTTGGCATTGCATAAGTCCTGTCTATTTGACTGTCCATGGAGTTAAAACACTAAATCCCTGGGATATGTTACAATTGATTTTAGTCTCTGATGCATGATTTTTTATTATAAAAAAATTGGCTTTTAACTAGCTTTCAGTAACTGCGAGTACTCTTAAATCGTACTTTCGTGTTAATTTGACCTTGTTGACACAATTTTTTAAGCATTTTTGTTATTCAATGTTTACTTATTTTGTGTTATATATCGTCTCACTATTTTTAATATGTACCACCTTGGATAAGTATTAAGTATGACGATAAATTTTCATTTCTGACTTCGGACTCGGACTTCTTTTAAACTGAGTTTTACTGTGCGTATTGCTATGTGTTTCATTATTCTACATTGGCTAGAGGTATAGGGGAGGATTGAGATCTCACAAAACATGTTTAACCCCGCCGCATTTTTGCACCTGTCCCAAGTCAGGAGCCTCTGGCCTTTGTTAGTCTAGTATGGTTTTTAATTTTAGTTCATTTATATGTTTTGGAGTTTAATGTGACTTCCATTTTCACTGAACTATCACACAATTTTATTTAGTGGCCAGCTGAGGGCCACCTCCGGGTGCGGGATTTTCTCGCTGCATTGAAGACCCATTGGTGGCCTTCGGCTGTTGTTTGTTTTTTGGTCGGGTTATTGTCTCTTTGACATATTCCCCATTTCCATTCTCAATTTTATCGTACTCGTTGAGGAATCAACAAATTTATTTTATTTTGTAAAATATATTTCCGTACTCCTAACAACAAAATTAGTATATTTAAATTTACCTGTGTACATTATTTTATCAAAGGCCATTTTGTCCCAGGTTAGAGTTGTCTTTTGACATAGTTTTACATCCCCCTTTTTATTAATATTGTATTTATCATTTTGTCATATATCAATTTATTCGTTCAGCGTATGTTTACTTGTTTTTGTTACATGTAATATGTCTTTTTGATTGAGTTAAGCCATTTCAATTGATATTTTATAGTGTGTCTTTCTATGTTGAAATGTTGAGATGTTGTGAATGTTTTACCCTAGTCATTTTGGGGCCCTTTATAGCTTGCAGTTCGGTGTGAGCCAAGGCTCCGTGTTGAAGGCCGTACTTTGACCTATTTTTTTTAATTTTTACAAATTGTGAATTGGATGGAGAGTTGTCTCATTGGCACTCATACCACATCTTCTTATTTCTATTTACTATTGTTTTTTTTTTCAAAAATATAATAAAAAGCTACTTTTCAAGCTACAAATCGTTCAAAATTGACCAAAATTTGAATAGAGTGTTTATGAAAAAACTTATTTGAAATCTATGAGATAGAATTTTGAAAAAAAAATATGAGAAGATAGGTTTTTATAATATGCTTTTAGAAATTAAAAAGAAAACTTAGTGTCACCGAACTTGTTTTCTTGCTACCATTTATAATTTCACTACCATTAATAATATCGTTTGTTGATGTGGTTCATAAGTGTTTCGCGTTTCTCGTTTTTTACATAGATTAGACCGTTGGTTTTCCTGTTAGAATGGTTTTACACTAGTCATTTCTGTGGCCCTTTATAGCTTGCTGTTCGGTGTGAGCCAAGGCTCCGTGTTGAAGGACGTACTTTGACCTATAATGGTTTACTTTTACAAATTGTGACTTGGATGGAGAGTTTTCTCATTGGCACTCATACCACATCTTTTTATATCTATGGATATATATTTATATATCCCAATAGAACAGTAAAATCTTCATTTAAGCAAAGTATCAAGAACATTCTATCTGAGGAGATATATACCGATGATCCACCGTAAAGAGCTCGAATGGATGACTATATTTATAACTAATTTGACCATATCTTCATTACTCAAATGTTCGGTTAACAAGAAACCTAAATGTGTATAATTTGATACAATAAAAACATATTTTTCGTTGAATACAGAAAAAAGATTTCAGTACGTTACAGGCAGAAATCTTAAATATAAATCTTTTGATTTTTTAAGATAAACATGAATTAAATCTGATTTTCATCACACTTGAATTTTGAATTATTCAAATTTATTGTAAGTCACTTCATTGTCCTAAAAAAACAATATACAGCAATAAACAACTTTTCGTCAGATATTTTAAAAGCCACGTTTAAATTCTTGACCTATTCAATTAAATCATAGATGAAAATTTGAACAATAATGGTGAAACAATAAACTCTTGTTTCAAATCAGTATTAACATGGAACAACCAATTAAATATGCCATTTAACTTAATGCGAGAACATAAGCGTATAGCGATCTTGATAGTTTTAGAACTTACACCTGACAGCTATTGAGTTATTAAAAAATCAAATAAGTTCATTAGCATTCACCGCGACATGAAACAAAAGATGACCATACTGAGGTGTGCGTTCGAAGCGATTTTTTAGATTCAACCTTCAATAAGAACACGCAAATCTGAAAGTTTTGATCGCCAAGGGTGTGGGATTACTTAAATACTAACTGAGCTCTATTACCAAAAGAATCAAGTTGATTTCGGTATCTTGCATTGGCTTTTTTTATAAAAAAAAAAAGAAGATGTGGTATGATTGCCAATGACACAACTCTCCACACGAGACAAAATGACACAGAAATTAACAACTATAGGTCACCGTACAGCCTTCAACAATGAGCAAAGCCCATACCACAAAGTCAGATATAAAAGGACCCGAAATAACAAAAGTAACAATTCAATCGAAAAAACTAACGGCCTAATTTATGTACACAATAGTGCGTGTTTGTTTGTTTAATTAACACCAACAAAGAGCAGAGAGATATAAATTATAAAGAAAACACTAGTTTTGCATTCTGATATGAATTTATATAACGTTGCCAAATTTCATTTTATAAAAAATGGTACTACATCATTATTTTATTTTTACATTACATGTTGTATTTGTATAGAAATGGTGTTACTGAGTCATGGTTTTGTTGTAATAACCACGAGGAGAAACATGGAGTATGTGTAGGTATGTTGTATGGAAGATGTATAAAACACAGAAATTACAAATTATTAATACAAACAAGAAGAGTTGTCGGATTGAAATTGCGCGCACGATGCCAGCAAACATCCAATACAAATATAAAAAGCTCCTGACAAAAATAAAGGCATGCTGATGTTAGCGAAAGTAATATATAAAAATAATGATACTTTACAAATGCTTTATGCGTAAATCCTGCCTACATATATATGTATGGTGATACTTAAAACTAGAATCCATGACAAACATGATTTTTTTAAACTGTCAAATTGTCTACTTCACATTTCTCAGCAGTTGAATACTGTCTGTTCGACGTTTGGCTTACATCACTCAATTAATACGGTACATGAATCTCACATGAAATTCACGTGAAAAATTTCACGTGAGATTCACATCAAACGAGCTTATACATGAAACTCACATGAAATATTTCACATGAATTTCACTGGAACTTTACAAAAACAAAATGTTATTTTTAATAATTTTAATTATATTTGAAAATTAAGATGTTATTGTGAATTTCACGTGAAAGAATGCATGTGATTTTTACGTGAACATTGACGTGAGTTTCACATGAGATTCACGTGAAACTCACATGAACTGATTTCTCGTGAGTTTTACGTATAAGCTCGTTTGAGGTGAAATTCACGTGAATTTCACGTGAGATTCACATGAATTTAAATTTACGTGAAATTGATGTGCGTGAAATTTCCCTGTGTAAGGTCGTATATGTTCACACTATACATGCTATACGGACTTCATTTGCAAGGATGTGCTCCTTACATAAAAACTGCTCTACCAGAGTTATCAGGAAAAACGAGTGAAATCGACGCATCATAATTTTACGGTAATCATCACAAATTGGTTCATTGATACGATATGTTGGTGTCGCAACTTACTATTGTGGAAAAGAATGTGTAGAAATAAATGTTAGTCCCTATCTTAAAATTGAGATGTGCACACTTGGACACAACCATTGATATTAAAATCGTATATCCGTAGTATCGTGGAAAAGAGAAAGCAGTAACTGCATACTTTCATGACGTATTTTTGGCATTTTGACGGGTCATACTTTACTTCTCGGTCGATGGTGAATTAACTTTTGCTGACCTAGAAAAAAAAACATTTCAAAAACAACTACATGTACTATGAATCAATTCGTTGGATATCAATTTTCGATGATTTCGTGATTATAGACGACTCATTGATTAAAATAATTAACTTATGGTTCTTCATCCTGTCGATACTTGTACTTAAGGATTGCATAAGGGCATGTAAGACCCCTTTTGGGCCCCAAAATATAGCAGTTTTACAAAATTGTTAAAATGTAAATTTTTAGCTATTTATTGGAAAGGAGAATAATTCTGTTACATAAATATGGGCTGTTTTTGACAATACAATGCACATGTATCGGGTACTAGCATCATTAAGTCATGCTAAATTACTGAAATCTTCGAAATTTTTGCATTTTGGTTAATTTTCAGACGGTTTCCGTCTGAAATGGAAGTGGCCGCATTTGTGTTCATTCTTAATATTTAAATGTAAGTTGTATTTGATGATACTACATAACATATATAAAGGTTGAGAATGAACACGGATGCGGCCACTTTCATTTTTGACAAAAACCATCTGAAAAGTGACATATTATGGCATATTTTATAGATTTTTCATATTTAAGCTTGAATTTGAGCGTCTTTAATAACTAAATCAGTTCAAATCTTTCAAATAAACTGATTGAATCTACTGAAGTAGACACTTAAGTGTTTAAAAAGTGTTCAAAATCTTTTATCAGATGAAATTGAATTTTGAGGCCAAAATCGGCCCTTACCGGACCTACTCCTTTTTCATGACGTCTTTACACTAAATCTCTAAGTTGTGTAGTAACGGATATTTAAGACTGTGAAAACATGTTTGATACGCCATATACTTTATATATATGTGCCAGTCCAAAGGCTGAAACCTGCATTTGCAGTTGTTAATGTTGTTTGCCTTCTGTCTATTTGCTTTTTTTCGTTTATGTTCATTGTTTTGAGCAAAAACAGGTAGTTCGTTTTTTCATGCTTCAATAGCCGCCTAACCAAGTGCTAAGGATTTTCAGTAGTTTCGTGAGTGTGCAATTGAAGTATACTCTATATTTATTCATTTATATTCTCACATACTATTATCCTAAAACCCCTTCAGCCATTCATTTGTGCTACATGTGATGACATGTAATGTTGGAAGTTGTCTGAAAAACAAGTTAAAAATAAAAACTTCAACGGAGCACTCCGGCTGTTATTATGGAAGTTTTCCACAATTTCTTATAACAACACCCAAGCATTAAATCGAAAGAAATATAATAATAAAAACCAAATTAATGGTACTTCACTCATATTTTGAAAACAACATTTTGTAATTTTTTGCCAAATATATTCTTTAATACTTTCCCCCTATTTTAAAAATTTCCTCCGTCGTTGCATATTTACCTAAGGCTCATTTTGATAGATGAATTTTAAACATTAACTTTGAAAGTGTTATATGTTATATAGAATGCGAAATTGGATATGTTTCAAAGGACGGATTTCCATGCGAACAGTGTTTACCTGGAAGATGGGGGAGAAAATGCAGAAACAAATGTATCTGCCAACATAACGAGAGGTGTGAAATTTGCATATGTTAATCAATTATTAAGATAATTTGAAAGACACACATTATAAGTAGCGTTTTTTTTTATTGAAAACTTAAATTCCACCGATTAAAAGGGGAAAGATACCAAGGAAACATTCAACATTCATAAGTCAAGATAAACTGACAATTTAATGATAAAAAACGAAAGTTGACGAAATGAAAAACTAGTTCACCAAACACAACATCGAAAACTAAAGACTGATTATCACGGAGCCAACTAATACAAGTAACTAGGGGTGATCTCGTTTCCTCCAAAAGGGTTAGCATATTCTGCTTCAATGGGTGCACCAGTCGTGTTGCTCATGGTAGGTACAAAATCGATGATGAGTTTCGTGCGGCGAAGTCACAATCCGTAAAAATAGGACGGGATTATATCTACGACAATTCAAAAATATTTGTGGTCATTTGTACATTTTTAACACAAAATATACCATAGCGATCAACCAACTTGTGATAGCGTCAGTAAATTTTTCAAAGGGATGACTTTAACTTCACGAATTGGAACACTTGGTGCAATAGCTTTCTTGCACACAACAATCCTCTATCAAGAACATGATAATAGGAAACAAAATATTGAGTATGTAGAAAGTTATAGACTGTTTAATTCGTGTGATTTCTTGCCAACAATATACTTGTCATTCTGAACAGGTCACTTTTAGTCGAATCATAGTATTTTATTGGTATTTTGAAAGTTAAAGTCATCCCTTTCTAATTTTTACAGATAATATCATACATTATTGTATTTTGAAGCACCAAGTAACTTTTTTTCAATATGCTTGGTGTGTGAATCGTTTTGCAACTGATTAAAGTATAAAAATAAGGAGATGTGGTTTGATTGCCAATAAGACAACTGTCAACCAAAGTTCAAATAAAGTGGGTGTATGCAATTGTAGGCAACCGTACGGCCTTCAACAATGCGAAAAAACCCATACAGTATAGTCGGCTGTAAAAGCCCCGTCATGAATAATATGAAACAATTCAATGGAGAATACTAACGGTCAAATGTATAACAAATTGTTAAAAAAAAAACAAATATGGCAGACATGAACCAACGACAACCACTGGCTCCTGACTTGGGACAGGTACATAAAGAATTTGTTTTATGTCAGAACAGTTTGTAGGTATATTCAATACATGTATAATGAACACACAAATGTTTGTTTCCTCTTTTGTTTTTCTCGTTTCTTTGGATGTCTCATTATGCATTTGCTATCATCACTTTTATTCACATCTCTTATAGATGTGATATTGGGTATGGATGTGTTGCCGTGACAACGGTCATGCCAGGTATTGTATCCACACAATCACGTAAGGAAATAAACGAATTAATAAGTAATTCTTGAGAAGTTTTGAAAATAACTATGACAAAATTACAACAACAATAATAACAATAATGAAAAAAAAATATAATAGTAATAATAATAATAATAATAATAGTAAAACAATAATCACATTGTTAGACAGACAGATGCTGGTGATTTTGTTTTAATATAGTGTCTCTTTTTTCATATAAGAAGGATGTACCATGAATTTCTAGTACGCGGAAGGAAGCAGGACTTATTGTTACTCTTCTATTTGTACGGCGATACGCATCCTCAATTTGAACCAAATAAAGAGTTTATGTTTTGATTATTTCCGGTGATATGTTAAACAGTACTTAACATAGATTTGGTACATATATAAAAATGAGATGTTGTATGTTTGCCAATGAGACAACTATCATTAAGAGTTCAATTGAAGTGAAAGTATGCAATTTTAGGCAAACGAACGGCCTTCAATAATGAGAAAAACAAACACCGTACATTGTATATGGTATAAGAGAGGGACGAAAGATACCAGAGGGACAGTCAAACTCATAGATCGAAAATAAACTGACAACGCCATGGCTAAAAAATAAAAAGACAAACAGACAAATAATAGTACACAAGACACAACATAGAAAACCAAAGACTAAGCAACACGCACCCTACCAAAAACTCAGGTGCTCCGGAAGGGTAAGCAGATTCTTAAACGTTTGATTGACAACACTTATAAAATGTGATCTTTTTCCTGAATGCTTGCTTTGAAAGGAAACGAGTAAAATGATATAATGTTCAGCATAAAGGTTTTTGAATATACTTAAGGAATGACTGTAATATTTTTTCTGTCTATTCAAAATAACATAAAAAATGTGTTGCACACTGAATAATCCGTGTAGCGGGTTATTATTAAGTGTGCACCACATTTTTTATGTTATTTTGAATAGACAGAAAAAATATTACAGTCATTCCTTATAATTTAATTTTAAATTCCATTCTAAACCGACTTAAATCATGAAAAAAGGTTGATGACGTCACGGTCAAATAACAAAATTTAGTCTATGAGATGATAAACAAAACACTGTCAGACAATCAGAAGACACGTTACATCCAACATTAAATTATATAATTATATTTCAATTTGATTATGAATTCATTGAAATTATTTTTTGACGTTTGTATTACTTGTAATGTCCTCATTATAAAGATCGAATAGATTTTGACTTCGACATAAGGTTGTTAATTTTCATGTTTCGTTATGAACTTCAGGTGAAAGGTATCATTTTATAAGTCGAAAACATAATCAGACACTGTTGAAACAAATAAGAGGAGACATTCTTGTCATTATTGAAATATATTTTTCAGAAAGGTGGGAAAGCACAAAACAAACGGAATCAACAGATGTTAAAACAACAGTTAGCATTTCAACAACTGACAAAAAAGGTAAATTTTCGTACAATTAATCAATAATGCGTTTTCTTCTCTTCCGTATTATTTGGATAAAAATACAAAGGTTCAACAGGTCAAAAGCACACGAATATATGCAAAGAGTTTGCATTATTTGCAAATAAGAACATAAGTTAACTAATTTATATATTTGTTTGTTGTTGTACTGTTACACTACTGTTCCAGGTTAGGAGGAGAGTTGCTTTTTCTGTTCTTGTCTTGTGTTGTGCCGCTGCCCCATTGTCCAAGGTTATAAGAGGGTTTGCGCCTTCAAACATGTATAAACCCGCCAAATTCTAGTATTTCTGTTCCAAGTCAGGAGGCTGTAATTCAGTAGTTGTCGTTGGTTCATGTCTGTCATACTTGTTTTTTTGTATATTGTTTTGGTATAAATTAGGCCGTATATATGTTTTCTCAATTGAATTGTTTCATATTTGTCATGTCAGGACCTTTTATAGCCGACCATACGGTAGGGTTTTTCCTCATTGTAAAATGACGTGGTGTTACCTATGATTGTTAAAAATCCAATTCGTTTGAACTTAAAAAGTTAGCTGCCAATCGTACCACATCTCCTAATTTTTTATAAATTAATATAAAACATAGCACACTTTTATGATTTAAGCAAAATCAGTATAAGTGTTTACGATCTTAGAAGACATTAAGATGCTTCACATATGTATACGTTTCACAACTATTTCCCTACTCAAGAGAGTGTGTCCGCTACAATAAAATACAGTGACAAAGTACACACAGTTCATTATGCTAGGAAAATGTCAATGTTATAGTAAACAGACATCACAACTCCACATAATGGTTAGACATACAGTATGTTATGGTAATTTTACTTCAGTATTTAATCATTTTATCTTGTATATGTTACAATCACATCTATATATGTCCGGCCTCAAATCTGTGCCTTTCCTCAGATCTCGTAACGTCATGACAGTCCAATCTGAAGCCATATGTCGTAACTACAATCCCCTTCCTTTTTCACGAATGTGACCTACCGAATAAGCCTATTTACCGGGTTTGTAATAACATGAGCAACACGATGGCTGCCACATGTAGAGCAGGATCTGCTTACCCTAACGGAGCACCTGAGATTATTGTGGTTCGTGTTGCTTAGTCTTTAGTTTTCTATGTTGTATCTTGTGTACTATTATTTGTCTGTTTGTCTTTTTCTTTGATAGCCATGGGGTGGACAGTTTATTTTCGATCTATGAGTTTGACTGTCCCTCTGGTATCTTTCGCCCCTCTTTTGGGACTGTAATATAATAACCCTATCCCATCATGTGACCGTTGTGTAAAAACAAACTTCTAAAAGCTGTAAATTCAGATAGAATTGGCTTGAATCATCAGATCGACACAATGCAATTCAAATAACAAAAAAAAAGATAATAAAAAAAGGAAAAAGACAAAATTCTATAGTACCATCTTTTGGCCAGCAAAAAACAAACAGATTTACCCGAAGAGGTTTTAAAAATTCTAACGTAAACACTTGATACAGTGCATGACTTGTTGAAATGGACACAGATTTTAGAATAGAATAGCACTGAGGATACAGATTCATGAAGAAAAAACAAGATGTTAGACTGGTCAAAGGTTGTATGCAGAAACATTCCCTAGTACCTGGAAAAAGTAAAATCACATAAATACTGATCTCCGAGGAAAATTCAAACCGGAAAGTCCCCAATCAAATGGCAAAATCAAAAGCACAAACACATCAAACGAATGGATAACAACTGTCATATTCCTGACTTGGTACATGCATTGTCTTATGTAGAAAATGGTGGATTGTACCTGGTTTTATAGCAAGCTTAACCTTTCACTTGTATGACAGTCGCATCAAATTCCATTATATTGAAAATGATGCGTGAACAAAACAAACAGACATAATAGGTAAAAATTGTCACCAATACAGCAGTCAACATTGTGTTATAATCTTAATCACTAAAAAACAAACAAATATGTAACAAAGAAGCACAAAATGGCATTTAGACCAAGCATATTAGCAAAATTTAAAGACAAGAATACACAAATTTACCATAGAACAATAGCACAATGACGGGATGTATAAGTACAGAGCCACGTCATTTATGTTACAAAGAAACATGAAAAAGGCATAAAGACAAAGCACATATCAAAAATGAAAGACTTGCAACAAACAAGTTACACAATATCACAATAACGGGATGTATAAGTACAGAGCCACGCTATATG